GAGAGTTAATCCCTTCCTCTATCTCACCCCTCCCCTTATTACAGGAATCATACTTAACCCAGCACAGAGAGTGCACAGGAAGGACAAAGATGGACAAACACATATTCATACAAGGATAGACACCCAAGGGAGGAACCTTGGCTTGACTGGAATTCTCAACTCATGAATTTGGAGTTCTCTCTCACTAGATTGCACTGGCCCAACTGGATTTGATGTCCTAGGTCTATGATCATGAGTATTACATTTAGGCTTCTTTAAAGGATATAATTAGGTGATATCTTGTAGGAAGGAAACTGCCTCCTGGAAATAAAATGCAAATGCTATACTCACTGCATCATCTCACATCATTTGAGATGAACCCAAACTTTAGATAGATCTATCAGAATTGTTAGAGAGCACTGACCTTTGTCCAGTGTTCAGAGTGGATCATTCACTGCTGGAAATTAATTTGACTTCATCCCACCAGGAACTGAAATGAGAGGCAAAGAGCAAGACAAGATGTTTAGGAGGGCAGGTTAACTCATTAATGAGGCAGGACAGAAGCTGTGCTGCGATTATAAAGGTGACTCTCAAGCTTTTTAAGCTGGTGACCTCACTGTACTTCAAGAGAAAATAAGAATATAGGAATGGCCATACTGGGTCCAACTAATTGTCCATTCAGCCCAAATCCTGTTGACAACAGATACCCTAAAGGGAAGTACCACGGGAGAGCATTTTGCGTACTCTAATTTCAGTTTAAGAGTTGGTAATGAGGTATGGACCACCTTCATCTAGTTCTCCAGGAAAGGAAAGTAATACTTCTGATCACACTACACATGGAGAATGGTTCAGGACATTTCCTTTTACAAAGGCTCCTAGAAGCCTACATTTAGAATCTGAAGAGAGCTGGAGATTTACTAGTCTAATTCCTTCATTTTGTGGAAAAGGAAATTAGTACTCAGAGAGGCTAAGTAATTTGCCCAAGGTTACACAGCTAGCAAGCAGCAGATGTAATCACAGATCCTCTGACCCCAAGGTCAGTCCCTTTTCCATTATTCCATGCTGCATCTCCAAGCCTTGGCTTCAGAGCTGTCACATGCTCTTAGACCTCCTCCCTTTCTAACCACTCCTTCTGTATCCTTTACAGATCTCTGAAAGAAGGTGTCCCTCAAAGGTCTGGATTTGACTCACTTCTCTTCTCTCTCTACTCTCTCCCCCTTGAAAATCTCATCCAATCCTTTGATTTCAAATATGTCTATGCAAGTGACTTTGCAGCCTGTATCTGGAGTCATGAATTTACAATGGTAAGTCTTTCCAAAAAAGTGAGAGGGAACAGTAGATTAAGAATACAAATTTACTTTGGGAAAAGACACTCTGGAAAAAGAAAAGCGAAAACTATTAACATTAAGAGATCTGTATATATGATGCATGAATTGCATATAAGTAAAACACATTGATCTTGAAGACAAGATTTAAAGAGACAACTGAAGGATCATAGGCCACCCTGAAAAACATGACAAGTCAAAAAACCTGAATATCATTATGCAATAGATAATACCCCCACAACTTTTGAATACAGAAAACAAAGCACCAAATGAAACAATTCATAGATCACCTTCAGAAAACAACAGCAGTAATAACAATCCTAGACTTTAAACTCCAAAATACAGTGATTAAATTTCACAGTTCCAGTGACAGTCAACAAATTCTGCAAGCCACCAAGAGAAATACCTACAAATATACTCTGCTTCTCATCCTGTACACCCCATCACTGATGTTGTATGTACTCTTTGCTCTATGTCCCTTCTTAGGGAACACAGACCTCCATTCCATGTTCCCCTCTGAAGGATTTTTTCAGAAGCTGTGTTTATGTTGCTTGATCCTTTCCCTCAGTCCTGTTGACTTGGGGGATGGATGTAGGGCTTGTGTTTACCCAAACTCTGGGCCCTGTGATTATCGATTGCCTATTGGGCAACAACACAATCACCTTGTTTAGGGGAAGGAGAAGAATGAGACAGAGCCAGGCTCATGGTCATGACAGAGAGGGAAGGGAAGGGCACAATGAAATTTGGCCATCAAACCAAATTCTCCTGGAGTCTTGAACCAAAGAGGTAGAAGGAAAAAGATTTGAGTGAAAGAAATGGAGAGGTAAGAGAAGAGAGTGAATCAAAGGGATAAGAGAGGCAGTCAGTCATTCTTGAGGATCTGTGCAAGAAACAGTGATATTGGGGTAGAATACTTGATTTCAGGAGCTTCCAGAGAATGGGTCTTCAGGAGCTAAAATTAAGCTCATCATAAAGAGTATAGAACAAGAGTCCATGAGTAGAAGTCAGAGGAAGGCATCGTTCAGTTCATTACAGAGAATTTCCTAATACCTAGAGTTTTCCAAAAATAGATTATAAGAAGTTATTTCCTCTCTTGTTGGAAGTGGGAGTTAGAGAGCAAGAAACATGGGAAGAGCTGCAGCCAACATGGGTTCTTGAATTGGAACCAGAAGACCTGGGTTCACATCCAGACTCTCCCACTTGAGCAGAGAATAGATACAATGAATGTGTCCTTATCTGAACTGGGAAAGTCATTCAACTTTTCTGAGTCTCAGTTTCCTTATTTACAAAATTGGGATAATAATATTGGTAGCATGTACCTCACAGGGCTGCTGTGAGGATCAGACATAAAGTGCATTGCAAACCTTAGTGCTTTTGTTATTATCACAGAAAAGACCAAATGTATGAAGAATGTCTATTGTCCAAATTATACATGAAACTGAACAGACATCCTAAAGAGTTTTTCAATAGTACACAAATCTAGGTTCTGCAATGCAAGTGGACCATGAATTTTGTTGAGTTGAGAAAGAGTAAAGTGGGTTCAGCTGCATTCAAGAAATTGTGAAGCAATTCTAACGATCCCAAGCTTCTTGTAACAGCAAAGTCCCATCTTTTCAACACAAACATTGTACTAGTTTTGCTGTATGGTAATGAACACTGGATCACCACTGCTTCGAAAAACCTCAAGATAGGCATCACCCTGAGCACAGTGGAGAAATGCATAGTAAGCAGGCTACAATGTATAACCAATGAGGAACTGTGTATAAAAAAGAATACCTGTGAATATCATCATTAAAGAATTTTTTGTCAGAAAGATGGGCAAAGCATGTGAGAAGATTGAGGGATGTTAGGTGGACAGTCAGAGTGCCCCAAAGGTAACCGCACTCAGGTGTCTGGAGAAAAAGAGGCCAGCCTCTAACATAGTAGGTGGATTCAGGCTTTGAGGATGACATAGACTTGAGCAGCACAGGATGAGCAGGTATGGATGGGTTGCAATCTGTACCCTTGAAAGGAACTCCCAAAACTATGAGATCACAAAACTATTAAAGCAACACATTCTCCCCATTCTTTTTGCTGGCATTTGCAACTTTCAGGCCGCTCTCTCAAGTTTCTCAGTGACTCTATCATGATCTTCCTTTCCTTCCTCTAGCTTGCTATCAATCTCAGGGTCTTACTGATCACCCTCTTTTCAATTTTAGACCTACAAGGTCACACAGAAGACCTCAACAAATGTCGAACTATGCCAAATATGATAACTGGAATTTTGAAATTCTACCATGACCACCCTCTCCTCCCTTACCATCACTCCTCTGACACTCACAGTGAATCTGTTCTTTGCCCTTTTCACAGTCTATAGTCCCTTGACATTGCTCTATTCTCCCAAACTAACTCATTCCCTATGGTTTTATTTTTGACTATATGGTCTGCCAGTGGAAGGTGTCACCACTTACTTTCCTCCACTCCCTTGCGACCTTCACCTTCAATATTGGTCACCTGTGATAATTCATCCCTGTGTAACTTTCAGCGTCTGATTGTACTGCTTCTCATGCAGGAATTCTGAATGTCGGTGGAGAAAATCGTGACACTCTGATGATTTCAGTCATGGAAAGCTTGGGTTACGATCCCTGCTTCTTGACAATGCCTCTGCTCTCCCTCATTGACTTCATTTGTTATTCCCCACATCAGCTCCAAATTCTTCCCTCCCTCTGAACCTCAGTCTCACAAATGGTGATTTTGCCCCTCTCTGGGGGTGGTAGAGTGGGGATTCTTTTCGTGTATGGGTTGTACAACATGGCCACTGAGGCCCCATATAACACTGAAATTCTGCAATTCTGTCTCCTGTTCACTAAGACTGAGGACATCAGATAACAGCTTTCAGACAACTATACTATCCCTTTCCGTAAAACTTCTTAGCATCCCCACTCATTTTCTTCCATATCCCTCTTCTCTCAGAATAAAAGGCATCCCCTCTCTTAAAGTGTAATCCTTCTCCCTGAGCCTTTGAACCTATTATATACCCCTCCTTCAGGACCTTACTACAGAGACAACTCTCTCTTTCATGTACTATCAATCTTTCCTTCTCCTCTATGTATAGACATGCTCAGGTCTTCCCAATCGTAAAACTCAACCACAAGTAAACAAAAAATAAGTTTGTTAATCTTATCAAGCTGCCATCCTGAAACTTTTCTCTTCCTATTGCTAAACTCATTTTAACAGTCTCTCCCAAATGTCTCTACTTCCTCCCAAACCCATCCACTCCTCAGTCCCTAGTATTGGGCTTCCATCCCCATCTCTCTGTTGAGACCATCCCCTCAAGGATCATCATTGACAAGGATCATCAGTATTTAGATGATTTGGTCTTTTTTCCAGTCCTCATCCTCTTTGAATTCTCCACTCCTCTTAATTCAGTCCTTCCTATTGGATACCATTGTATATACTTCTTTAGCTTTATAGCCGAGGCAGACAGGTATCACAGTGGATAGTGTGCCAGGCTTGGAGTCAGGAAGATCTGAGTTCAAATCCAGCCTCAGGCACTTA